GACCTGCAGAGGCCCATTCTGATCTGTAGACGCCCATTATTGATTGGAGGGCGCATTCTGGACTTAAAACAGACCATTTAGCCTTTGGAGGCGCCATTCTAGCCTTAGCATGCCCATTATGACCTGAACAGGTTTCGTTTTGAGCTTAGCAATGTCCATTATCGGCTGTCGAGGGCCCATTCTGGCCTGTACATGGCTCAAAGTCTGACCTGTAGAGGGGCCATACATGCCCGTAGAGGCCCCATTAGTTACTAATTGCGATAATTACGGTATGTAGAAGGCCCATTCTGGTTTGGAGATGGCCCATTCTGACCTGCGTAAGGTCTATAACCGGCTGTGGAAGGTCCATTCTGGCATGTCCAGGAGGCCCATGCAGGTTTGTAGAGTGTCAATTCTGGCCTGAACAGGGCCCATTATTGATTGTAGAGCGTCTTTTGTTGCCTGTATTGGGCCCATTCCGACACAGAGAAGACACATTATTGACTACGGAGAGACTATTCCGGACTATGGAGGAATCCATACTGGAGGGGTTGATTTAGGCCTGTAGAGGGCCCATTCTAGCTTGTAAAGAAGCTATTCTGACCTAACCGGGGCTATTCAAACGCATAGAGATCCCTTCCTGACCTGTAGTAGGTCCATTGTAACCTATCGAGGGCCCATTGTTGACTGTCGAAGGCCCATTTTGCGCTGAGGAAGACCCATTCTGACCCGCATGGGACCCATTTTTAGCTGTAGAGGGCCGATTTGGACCTGTAGAGGGCCCACTCGCTAAAATCGACGATGATTTTGGCATATCTGAGTTTGCACCCCCAACTTGAACGTAGTTCCAAAGCCCCTGCCTAAGATACGTGGCTACACTTTCATAAGCAGTAGAGCCACGGGTGTAGGAACAGAGGAGGGGGCAGGGGTGCCATGACCCCCACTTCTCAAAGTGGGCGGGGTCAGCGACGTTAACTATAGCTCCCTCACTTTTTCAGATTTAATTTATGTTTATTTTGCTTTTGAGCTACCTTAAACATGCATGCATGCCGATTTACCTAATTCACCAGCCATCTTACTCATACCTCACTGGGCACGATTGTTTCATGTCGTAGATGACAGCATCTTATTCTATAATGTGTGGCCAACGAGATATTTAGGGGCGAACCTGAGGTTTCTCAAGTACCAAATGCTCCATTCTGCCCTTTTATATCGCCTTAGCTCTTTTGCATGACTGCTTAGAGTCCCCTCAGCGAATGTTCATAGAGTTCAACTTGCAAGATGGTATGATGTGGCCCTCTAAGGACCTCGGGATCGATCAGGGCACCCGCTCCCGTGTCCCCAGAGCGACAGCGGGAATGCATCCTCGCTGGGTTGAAATGGTCCTTCAGCACTGGACCGGTAATGGTAATGTGCCCCTAGTATTCTATTTACCCGGAAATCGTAACGGGTTTCAGGAGTGTTGAATGGAGTGAATCGAAATCATGTCAAAAGCAAAAATAGGCTAGCTCGTGTTCGGCTGAGAACTATCATTTTTGCAGAATCGACTAATGAAACAAATAACATGAATCAGACCAGACCTTCGCGCTTACAATCTCAGGGGCAAGAACAGCGATGGTAGGGGTTGTAGTTCCCAGAGATTAGACTGGGCTATCTTTTCTGTCAATGTTGGGGATGTCCTCTGGTCAAATTAACAGTTATAGCAACACGAAACAAAGAGATTCTTTCTTTAATTTTCCAGTCTTCCGCCAGATTTTGAATCTCACAATGGTGAAAGCTGTCTTGCATGTGCTAAAATCGACCAAAGCTTCAGAAATACGCATACACGACATGACACATGGGAATACTAAAAGAAGAAAGAAACACGGTGCTGATCTGAAATGCTATCTGGTAATTTGGACTTGAAAATAAATGAAATCGTTTGCGAGCATTTTTTTTTTTTTTTTGTTAGCGATGCAGCATCTCTTCCCGGTGCTATTTATATTAATGCAGGTTCCTGATAGTTCAAAAGGCCATCTTTTTTAGATCTGTTCCAAAGGTGGGACGCTCGTTTTGACATCAGAAACACGCGTGACAATTAGAGAGCTTCTCCATTCGGTTCACAGTGCGTGGCCCTCTGCACACCTAAGCGATATGTGCTCAGGTGTGCAGAACGCATCTGTGTGGCAGTACAACCCAGTGTCCTAGAATTGCCGACTTTGGGTGTAAAGCAGCACCCTGTGATGAGGAATTTTTCACTCCTTTTCCCCATACCTATTCTATGTGAATTTTTCGCTCATGCCTGACGCTGTCTAATCGCACATGGCAAACACATATTTCCCTTTCCGAGGTTTTCAGATGTCATCCAAAACCAAGCTCACTTGAAACCACTAAGCATAAACGGGGCTCCACAGAACCTGGACACCTACGGCTATGTCCCGCCTAACCCACATCTGAATCATGTCTATGTATGCACAGAGCAAGGGCACCAGGTACCTTCAAGCCCAAGACCCCCCAGCGACTCCAGCCACTTGCACGCATCAAGTTTGGTTTGTTTACAAAATGCATCACAATTGGCAGCAGTGTGACAAATGCAAGGTCCTCACGAATCCCCAATTTTTTGTCTCACCGCCACACCACGACAGCAGAGCCTGATGCGAACACCATCAAGGCCTGACAGATAATCTTGCTTCACGTATTTATTTTTCATGAAGGAGCTTGACCATTAAATTGCATCACTTCCGAAATGCAGGAGTGAAAAATTCAAGAAATGTCTTCTGAATTGTATTTACAAGATGAATATCATCATTTGAGCACTTATTCTAACATATTTTAAATAAAATCAGTTGATAACGGAATTTTTCCAAAGAAGCATCAGCCTTTATATTTATTTAACTAATTTTGTTTTTCTTTGTATCATATGAGTGTGATACTACTTCATTCTTCTTTCCTTTCCCACTGCCTTTAAAGGTACCATCTATTGCTTGAAATGTTGAACAATTTCTCCGCAAGCTGCTCCAACTGCAAATTTGCATGTATTTTATACATAAATTGGATTAATTCGCCACCCGCCCAAACATGTTTGATATGCACCAAGGGTGAACAATTCACTGGGAATGAAGGAGACACGTTGGAGCATGGAACTTTTTAACGCCATTTTTGCCCTGTTTAACCCTCGGTTAGCCATCTTTTGGCTCATGGCGGTGGTCGATAATTATAAATATAAGCCGTTCAAGTGCCTTACCCCCCAGGCCCCCTGACAAGACCATCCTTATGCTGCCATATGGAGCTTTGGGACAGACCTAACGCAGTTGACACATAAGTGTTTGATGGCGAAATTTTGTCCTCCAGAAATGTTTATCACGCACACCTCTTACTTGTTCCGCATTGTAATCTCGTAGGTTGGTGGACGTGATTAATATTTATATTTGGGGGTGAGTGGGATGACTTTGTCTGTCAGCAAACTGTGCAAACCGTGGCACTGACTTTCTGTTTTAGGGGACCAGGAAGAAGCGTGCCCCGAAAAAGCCAGCAAGTCTCTTGTGGACCAAGTAATTGCTTACCTTACCTGCTCTCAACACATGACTTGTAACCAGTGTTAGCCATTTCCTGTTTTAATCCATCGAGTTTTGTCATAAGACAAATTACGATGCCACAATGCCTGCAATGGGCTTATTTTCTTCCAGATTCTTGATCATTCGCCCAAATTTCGTGAAGCAGTTCCTCATGGCTGTTTTAACCAGATGTTTCCCATAGTTGCCGTGGTTTGCTGACTGGCAAATGACTGTACTGTATATATGCACCATATTTTTTACACTGGGATACTCTAAGCTGTATAGCAATTATAATATGAGATAAATGTCAGCATTAACCAAATAGTCAGACCATCCCATTTAAAATGTGAAGCCAACATCTCAAACTATGTCATAAAATATGAATAAACAAGCCTAAAAAGATGCCGTTGCTGCAGCTGAAAACGCAAGCAGCAAAACGGGCATGGTCATCTAAAAGTTGTGTTACTTTTGGAGAAGAGCGATTGTTTTGTGGAGCGTACCCATTATTGCCCTTGACAGAGGTTAACCATGACTATCAGAATAAGTTGTTCAAAGTGATTTGAGGTGTTTTCATTTGTGTATTGTCAACTTTGCCTGATGTCAACAAACATACACAGATGAGCTGAATTAAAAATGAAATTTGAAACCAGCCAAAAAATGAGCTTTATCATGTTTTTATCATATGTGCCGCTGTCAACAGATCGGTGACTTGAGATGATGTTCAACATATGGGCTACTCTAAGTAAGGTTAAGTTGGTTAAGTGCATGGCAAGTGGCAATAGGAATTGTACAGGAATCAGTAACTCACAACTGCTGCTGTGATTCCAACAGGTTAAACAGGGTGAGATGAAGTAAGACATCCTTAGGTTAGGCATAGTTAGGCTACTTTCACGGAAATAAGCATTGGTATTTTGTAAGAAACAGTGACAAAATGTTTGTTTTCCCCCTACCCCATCTTAACAGAAGCCAGAGGTATGTGTATTTTGTTTGACTTGGTGATGGGCCGATGTGTAGGAGTCCAAGGTTTTTTTGTTTTGTTTTTGTTTGAGTGCTGTATGCTTGTTGAATTTTCTGTTGTTATTTTGTTGTTGAATTCCTTTGCTTTGTTTTGTGCTAGAAGCGATGTGGAAGGGAAGGACAAAGTGCCGCATCAACGTATTGTTGTTAATGCATTTGTTATGCCCATAAGACTGTCATGAAGTTGCTATACTTTAATGTATTCTGTTTCACTTAAATGGCCAAGATGTTAAAAAACAAAACAGTTTTGTCAGGTTTATGATATTACGTCCATGCCACGCTGAAATAGATGTCTTTGTTTGCTGAAGCATCAGTCACTAGGTCATAAGCTCCATCTCTTGTAAATTTAATTTTTCACTCCCAGACAGTCTTTTTGCGATGGAATTGCCCACTCCCGCCCTAGTTCAAAAGCGATTCTAGCTCACTGGTACAAACGCATGCTGTTGCCTCAGCCGTATATTTATGCGCCGTGTTATCACGACCTCGGCTGCTCGGTGCGCAGTCACGCACCTGTGGAATACATTTCCTGCGCGGAGGACCTTCAGCAGAACCACACGACTGCATAGCCAAATCACAGCCAGCGGTAGGCCGGCAAACGGCCTTGGTTTTTCCGACGAAATGCGCAAATTTGCGGCGGGTTCGTTTCGGGCTGTTGCCATTTTACGTCTGCCTCTCACTTGGTTTGGACAACAGTGTGCTGCTTTCGGGATCGATTTGGAAAAAAACGCGACATTGGTCGCCTCACGATCAATTGCTGACGTCACTACGGATCGGACAGTGATGGACGGCATGGGCGGTTTGCAGGCGGCACATGCACCTACATCATGCAGTTGGTTTCATAACGTTATGTGCGTGGTCTGCTGAGATCTGACATGAATCCTGTACAATTCCAGGAAACTGCCGGATCCGTGGTTTTTGAACGTAAGCACGTGGGACGACCGCACGCAATAACCCGCATCTTTGCCAGTGCGGTACTCACTTCTTTGCCGAGTCGAAATATGCTAATTTCGTTTCGTTCAAATGCATCAGGTTTGTAGCTTCCGATGGTTCTGTGGCACGCTGCATTAAGTGTATTTTCGACATCCAATTGTAAGCATGCATTTCAATGCTCTCCATTTCGCGATCCACCCATCAGCGATCAGGCCTACGCTGGTCCAGCGAGGACAGCCACTAGGAACGCGCTGATCCAACGGGCGCGGTGTGTCCCCGACTGCTTCAGTTTTGCTCCAGCGAGGGCAGCATGTCGCGGACCAGCCGGTGGAGCGGGAAGGCGCCGCGGCCACACACGTTGCCCCAGTCGTCGTTGTCCAGGTTGTAGGTCATGGCGCCGGCCAGGTCGAGCGCGCGCACCAGGCTCGCCTTGGCCGCCATGCTGCGCGCGTCCTCGAAACTCACCCACTCGGCACCGCTGTAGGCGTACGGCGCCAGTGCGAACGGGTCCCACTCCGCCGTGCCGTTGCCCTGCAGCAGGCGGCACACGTCCGCCAGGGTGACGTAGCCGCTTTTCCAGGGTCCGGAGGCGGGCGCGAGCAGGCCGTGGACGGCCGAGTCGCGCAGGTGCCAGCCGTGCCCGTAGGTCGGTAGGCCCAGCAGCAGCTTGGAGCGTGGCACGCCGCGATCCAGCCACAGGTGGGCCGAGAAGTTGGTGTTGAGCGTCGCCAGGAAGCCGCGGTCGCGCGACGACGCGAACAGCGGCGCGTTGTGGCCGGTGGCCGGCTCCAGCGTCTTGTAGAAGTGGAAATCGTAGGTCATGACGCTGACGAAGTCGAGCGCGGCGGCGATGCGCGGAACCTCGTACGACACGTCGACGATGGTTGACGATCCGCCGACGGCGGCGGTGAGGAGGCGCGGCCGCGGCAGCGCGCGCAGCGCCGCGCCCGTCGCCTCCAGCAACAGCGAAAAGTCCCTCCGCTCGTGACCCGGCCGGAAGAAGGCGGGGAACTCCCAGTCAAAGTCGAGACCGTCCAGGTCGGTCTGCTGCAACAGCTGTGCCGCGGCGGCGGCAAAGCTGGCGCGGCTAGTGTTGGACGCGGCCGCCGTGGCAAACGCGTCGTTGTTGGCGGCAAACGTCAGGCAGACGCGAAGGAGTGGGTTCTGTTGCTGGCGCATGCGCACCAGTTGCGCAAGCTTGTCCAGGTCGGCATCGTTCACCTGCGGCAGGCCGTCGGCGGTCACGTGGCCGAAGAAGGCCAGCAAGTGCGTGCAGAGCCAGGGATCGATCTGGTCGAGCGGCACATCTCGGAAAAGGTAACAGGCGCGCACCCAGCCGCGTGCCTCAGTTGCGTCCAGGCCGCGCGACGACAGCTGGTTCGAGCTGCGGTGCTCCACTCGGGCGGGCGCGGGAGACAGCTGGCTCAGCAGCACAAGTAGCAACAGCACGACCGGCGCCATGATGGCGTGGCGGTGCACTGACGATGTACCGTATGCGATAGTGATGACGGAGGCGATCCCAGTGGCGGGTGTAAACAAGTGAAGGAGGGGGTAAGTGCAGTTACATTTGAAAATGTCGGCGACAGGTCTTTGGACTTAAGCGCAAATCATGAATACACTATTGGCTGTGCCGCTCTTTGCCCTACTTTCTAAGGTTCTTACGCCCTTGCCCGGCCTCTTATCAGTTACCAAACGGAAGCGTCTCTGTGACATCACGACGCATTTGCCCCAGTAAATCTGAACAGCACATTCATGTAAGCTGGTAGGCGTTTGCACTAGAGTTATGCATAGATGTTATATGATATGCTCTGTCAAGCTATGCAACTACTTATCGCTGCGTGTTTGAAGTGCAAGGCCGTCACAGTCCACAAGGGGCATAAATAACGTGTATCGATCATTTTGGGGGAGTTCGAAGTAGTACTTCAGTAATGATAAAGGAATATGGCTGCGGACTACCGCCACAAAATAAGACGAATGTGGCGCGGGAAATGACGTATCTTGGCGCCAACCCACGCCAACCGTCGTTCTGCGGTCGTACAGTGGTGGGAGAGTCGGGTGAGTATTGTCCGCGTTCTTTTTTCGTAATTTTGTGCGTTTACAGGCATGACAAACTTTATCGACGACACTTGGGGACAGAGGACGCGGCTTTTTCTGGTTATGTAGTGTTTCATTCCACAAATATGCAAATGAATGGGACGTGTGCCAGGGCATCGCCGGTCTCGGGTTGAGGTAGAATTGCGCGTCACCTACCTGAGTAAACATAACAAGATAATAGGAGATATTAATTACCTATGCTTACGGCGGCAGTGTAAGGTAATTTTCAAGCGCTAGAAATAGCTGAGGGTATGTCTGAAGCTCTGGGAATTTTGTCCTATGGTACGTTTTAACGGGGGCTGGGGCAGAAGTTGGTGAGAATGTATCGAGCTGATATTTTAATTTCTGTTGGTTGCTTCTGTGGTGGAGAAATTTTAATTTCTGTTGGTTGCTTCTGTGGTGGAGGATGTCAAATGTGTGTGGCTGAACCTGCCAAGCCCCCTGCCATTGGCTATAACTGGTTCTCAACAGCGCAACCCATCCAAGTGCCCCTGAACATCAGTGTGATGTTTCTGAAGTATGGGTTAGGGTCCTTGACTAAGTCAAAAGTGTGTCCATTAGGGTATGAGTTGAATATTTCAGGCAGTGAGTGAGTGAGTGTGGTATTTTGGCAATAATCTTAGAGTATGTGTGAAAGCTGAACACCTATAGTCTTAAAGATGGCCAGAGAATAGACAGTCAAGCTGTTAATGTATTGTTATGTCGTAAATGTATCGGTATGCAAAACTGTGCGTTAAACTGCGAACTGGGCAATAATTCAACATGGGCTGAAAGCGCGTTAGTGAGAGCGCCAGTTTCGTGTATCATTTAATCACTGAAGCGTTCAGACGTCTGTTACATCAACGTAAAACTGATCCTCACATGTCATGGCGGGGCAGGCAATCGGGGTCTTAGCAATGGTTTTGCAAATACGGCCTTCCTGACCGGCGGGTAAGTCACGTGATTGCGACGTCTGCACACGGCACCAAATAGCCAAAGGATGTGAACACGCATATGCATTTGGACGTTGTGTTGAGGTGATCACGGCTGGGACGGCAACCAGCGCTGGCTGGGGCAGACAACATATTTGAAAAACCTGTGCCAGTGGCTGTAAGGTCGGGTTTAATGGGTTCATGCATTACTGTTACGCAGGTGTAAGGAGCGTTAGAGTAGCCCATTAGAACTATGTAGACCAGTAATGGCTTACTGACTAAAATATATAAAAAGAAACAAGCCATCATACGCTGAACAGGGCTGTTTAGGCATTTTGAAAGTCTTCATTCGCAATTCTCATGCGCTTTGCAAAATCCAGCAAGCCCGAATCTTGTCACCAGTCCGCGCTGCTGGAGCGCAGCATGCACCTCTCCTCATCCCGCACCCTTAGTATCGCGGCGCTCTGTTGTGCGTGCAGTCCGGATTGCCACGGAGCTGTGCATGCGCGACGACCTACGCCGGGCGCGACAGAGGCGCACGGGCGCGACAGACGTGTACGGGCGCGACAGGTGCGCGCGGGCGCGACAGAGGTGTACGAGCGCAACAGAGGCCCACGGGCGCGACAGAGGCTTGCCAGCGCGACAGGGACACACGGGCACGACAGATGTGCACGGACGCGACAGAGGGGCACGGGCGCAACAGAGGCGCACGGGCGCGAGAGAGGCAAACGGGTGCGACAAAGGCGCACGGGCGCGACAGAGGCACACGGGCGCGACAAAAGCACACGGGTGCGGTAGAGGCACACGGGTGCGGCAGAGGCACACGGGCGCGACAGAGGCACACGGGTGCGGCAGAGGCACACGGGCGCGACAGAGGCACACGGGCGCGGCAGAGGCGTACCGGCACGGCAGAGGTACACGGGCACGACAGAGGCGTACCGGCGCGGCAGAGGTACACGGGCACGACAGAGGTACATTGGCGCGACAGAGGCGCACGGGCGTGATAAAGGCGCACCGACCAGTGCTCCACGCTGTCTCGGGGCCGTCTTCAGGGCTTTGGTGTATCCAGGGGCTGTGACACGCTAGAGGCCATCTCCGCTGGGTCTTCTCCGCAGCCTCGGGAGCAAATTGCTCTCACTCTACTCGCTGCTGCCATTTTATTCATGCCACGTTGTATTCATTTTATTCATGTTTTTATTCTGCTGCCATTTTATTCATTTCATTTATGTAAATACCACGGATATTGATTTCTGAAAAAGATTTGGCGGCCTGCTCGAGGAAGTCTCCGATAGCAGAAAAATACGATAGCAGTACGAAAATCTTTTCGGATTTCATCGGCTTGTTTTTCCGGTTTTCCACTATGTATATACGCCTATGTATATATATATATATATATATATATATATATATATATATATACACAAATATACATATATATATATATATATATATACAATATATATATATATATATATATTTAATATATATATATATATATATATATAAAAATATATATATATATATATATATATATATACAATATATATATATATATATATATATATATATATATATATATATATACAATTGCTTTTTTGACTTGTGTCCGGTATGATGTCGCACTCAGGAGCGGGTTGCAGTGATTCGTCTATAATCTTGGTTTTATGTAGGAAATTGCTCGATTACATTGGATTAATTAATGCATTCATTTTATTAGCTCTTTTCCCAATATAGATGGCATCATATCTGGTGTGAGGTGGATTCTTCTTCCATTAGTGTGCTTCGAGTTACCTCCGACTTCTGTTATGATCGGTCGGTGTTCGTGGACTACTAGGCTCGCGCTGGTACCGGTGCCAAGGCGCGGCGTGGACATGACAGGCTGCTCTGCCACCACCCTGTGCTGCGCGCTGGTTAGATCTCCCCCCTCCTGTCAAACGTACTAGTTGGTCTCACGAGTATGGCCGGTTAAAGTTAGCACCATTACGCGTTTCGGGTAAGCCGCGCGTTACCGCTTCAAGCGAGCTCCGGGCGGCGGGCGTCCCAGCAGACTCAGCACGTCTCGATGGCGCTGTCCGCCAGGACGCTCTCGTGGCGCAGCCGTCCGCGCCTCCTGGACGGGGCGTCACCGTCTGACCGCGCGCGGCCTGTGTTTCAGCCGCCTCGAGTGATGCCCCAGGACCAACCGGCGGCGCCCAAAGCCAACGAGAAGAAGCCGCCCAAGTGCAAGGCGTGCTGCGCGTGCGCCGAGACCAAGCGCGTGCGCGACGAGTGTATCGTGCGTAACGGCGAGGAGAACTGTCAGCCGCTGATCGAGGCGCACAAGCAGTGCATGCTTGACATGGGCTTCAACATCTAGAGTGGGCTGTTTTCTTGTAGTCTTTTAGCTGTGTGAACATTCTGCGACAGCGCCGACGATTGGTGAAGGAAGTTGGTACTCGCAGCGCCATCAATAGAATGTCGTCCACCATACGAAAGATCCTCATCTTTGTGGCGGAGCCGATGGGCGAAAAGCCCGTGATTGATCTAGCCGGCATTGGCGAGGTACTCGGCAAGGGACTGGTCAACCACGGCTTCGACCGCGCCTACATCGTGCCCGGCCAGTTCCTGCTCCTGAAGGACAATGAGCTGTTTGTCGACTGGCTGGTGGACCTGATCCACTGCAACGTCAAGCAGGCGTCCGACTGCTGGCAGTGCCTGAACGACTGGTGCGCGGAGCACTTGAAGGTACCCGTCGGAACCGGTCCGTACTCTGCTGCAAAGCGTGCTACTCGTCATCCCTGTCGCAGAGCGTTTCCGATACCCGCTACAGACCTGTACTCGGCCATCTCTGCCTTTTTGCGCGGGGAATGGCAAAGCACATGGGGTGCGATGGGCACCACTAAACTGAAAAGCATTAAGCCGATTGTTCAGGAATGGCAGTCATGCTATCGAAAGTCTAGACGGGAGGAAGTAATCCTGTGTCGCTTGCGGATTAGCCATACTTATGCTACACATGGACACCTACTATGTCACGACGAACTACCACGATGTCGGCACTGCAACACCACGCTCACAGTGGAAAATGTGCTCGTATGCTGTCCCATATTACGCGTCGAGCATCTGAGGTTCTTTGGCCGGGAGGCGCCGTCCCTGACGCTCTCCGATTTACTAGGTGACAGCTCACCGTATATCGAACATACTCTCAGCTTCGTACCGCATGTTAAGTTCTGCACCTTATATACATCTGCCTGAATAGTTCATACCGCGAGTAGGAAGTTGCCGGAAATTTCGTATCAATATGTTATTATGGGTCAACGTGTTCGGACATCACTGGTGACGTGTTCCTGTCACAACTCAGCCGTTTTCAGTTCAGAATGATATATATTTTTTAGTCATTTACCGCCGTAGGTAGTCATTTAGCTGTTATGGGCGCAAAATGACCGCAGTAGTCGGCGCGCCCTAAAACTCTAATCAACAACAACAACGGAACTGGTCTGTGCGGCTGGTCCAGCGCGTCTCCAGGCCTCCGGGTCGCCGCAAGCGTCGTCCCTCCCTCCGTGGCCTTCGCGTCTCATGCCTGTTCACGGGCACCTCGTCGTGGCGGACTCGGTGGCGACCGCCCGGCCCGTGCGTTCGCCCATCGCCGCCACCGGCTGAACGCATGAGGACGTGCTGTCACGAGCGCGCTCTCTGAGGTTTGCCCGCTTGCGTCCGGCTCTGGAAGTACAATGGATGTTTGCGTGCTGCAAATGGTTACATGCTGCGTGCACGTCGGGGGAGTTACTGTCGAACACGTTCGGGCGCCCTGATCGGCGCGTCAGGTCGCGGCGAGACGCACTCGTGCACTCAGAGTGGGGGATACGGATGATGACGTGACGAGCAACGTCAGTTAAGTTCAGGTCACGGAGGACCGAGCCGTTCAGCAGGTAAAACAGCACTGGCCAGGACCTGGAGAAGCCCGTTCCTGGCCATGATGGCCGGGAGCTGGGCCGTCAGTGCCTGGATGTGGTACCAAGTGCCGGTTTTCCATCCGTCTGAGCTTGACCCGACACCAGAGTCGCGTTCCTTGTTGGCAGAGTACCCACCGGAGGCTGTTGCCAATGACGTCACACACGAACGACCACACTCCAAACTGTGGAAACTGTGGTGACGCTTTCTCCTCTGACGTCATAGGTGTCAACTGGTGGAAGATGTTGGGCAATGGGGAACGCGGCCTGGATCTTGTCACCAGTCTGCGCTGCTAGAGCGCAGCATGCATTCCTCCTTGTCCCGCACCCCTAGCACTGCGGTGTCCTCTGTTGTGCGTACGTTCTAGGTTGCCACGGAGCTGTGCACGCGCGACGACTCACGCCGGGCGTGACAGAGGTGCACGGGCGCGGCTGGGACACACGGGCGCGACAGAGGTGCACGGGCGCGGTAGAGGTACACGGGCACGACAGAGGTGCACAGACGCGGCAGAGGTGCACGGGCGCGACAGAGGTGCGCGGGCGCGACAGAGGTGCGCAGGCGCGACAGAGGTGCACGGGCGCGACAGCTGTACACGGACGCGACAGAGGCACACCAATCAGCACCCCACGCTGTCTCGGGGCCGTCCTCGGGGCTTTGGTGTAGCCAAGCTTTGCGACGCGATAGGGGCCAGTTCCGCCGAGTCCGCTCCGCAGCCTGTGGGACGAATTGCTCTCGCATTATTCGCTGCTGTCATTGAAGTCATGTCATATTATGTACGTACCACGAGTGTCGATTTCTTAAAATGGCTTGAGAGCCGTCCGTGAGTCCGCTCCGTAGCCTGTGGGACGAATTGCTCTCGCATTATTCGCTGCTGTCATTGAAGTCATGTCATATTATGTACGTACCACGAGTGTCGATTTCTTAAAATGGCTTGAGAGGCGTCCCTGAGTCCGCTCCGCAGCCTGTGGGACGAATTGCTCTCGCATTATTCGCTGCTGTCATTGAAGTCATGTCATATTATGTAAGTACCATGAGTGCCGATTTCTTAAAATGACTTGGGGGGGCCAAGTCAAGGAAGTCTCCAAAAGCGGACAGGTACGATATATATATATATATATATATATATATATATATAACATATGATTGCCACCATTTAGCACTCCAACAGGCCTAGCTCCACCTTCCCTCATAATTTGCTGGGCATCCACCACCCATCCCAACTTTGCTTCGGTTTTGCCTGTGAAGTCAATGCTTAAAAATGACGGCATTAATTAGTGCCTTTGATACTCCTTCCACTTGTGTACATGTACAGCCACGACTTCCCACCGACCGGCCATCCTTTCTTTGACTTGTATGTTCGACATGATGTCCCAGTCAGCGGCAGTTTGTAGGCATTCTTCTATCATCTTGGCTTTGCGTGGGAAATTGTTCGATTACATTGGGTTAATTACTGCATTCATATTCTTAGTTTGTTTTCCTGATATAGATGGTATTACGTCCATTCAATGCGTCATGCTCCGCAAATGGTGGAACACCAAATCATGATGGTCTATTAATTAGCCGCTTTTCCACCGACAGCTTGCGTATTTTTCATCTCAGTCACTAGCGACTTTTCTTGGCGAAACATTTCGAGGCAAACTTGGGAGATTAGCTTACCTAACTGATTCACCAGCAATTACTGCCATTTTAGATGATGGAAATGCCACTAAATGCGACGGCATGCTGGTAGGCATGCATCGACACGGGCTCAAGTGGCCGGTTGATTACATCTCGCTCAGGTGGGGGTGGGGGGGGGGGCACAATTTGATCCACCCTTTCGATCTCGGAAGCTAGGATAGCTAGAGATGGCAGATTCACAGAGTGGGATGGCCTGTCTATGAACTCAATTAGGTCAAAATTTGAGGTTCCTAGATCATAAACTTACGGCCAGATATGTCAAACAATGTCAGACTGTAGATTGGTGCTTAGTGCCCCACAGAACGTCCTCAACGCAACCGCCAGGTAACTCTAGATACCTGTATCCAAACAGAGGACGTCAATGGTGTTGACTCGAGGTCAGTTACCTTGTCTGACTCCATCTATAAATGGTCAAAGTGACCAAGAAAGCTATACAAATTTGCTGTTTAATTTTTTTTATTGTTATGTATCTTGATATTCTTTATATTTGGTTATCTTATGATATTTTTGTTATTGCTCTTATCTTCTAGAATCTTTCTAGGCAGTCTGTTCCTAAAAAAATCCCCGGGCCATTTTGGGCCATGTGACCCTAGTCTGCTATAAGTCCACGGAACATGTCCGTTTGCGGTCCTGTGTCTTAGCTCCACTTGCAAAATGGGGCACAATAACTTTCATCATGCAGCGAGCTCTCGAGGAAAAAAGCAGGTTAGCTTTGGAATCGGTCTGACCTTTATATCTTACGCAAGGTCAATGGAATTGTCGTAATTGCAAATCCAGATTTTGTATTGCCGAAGAAACTATCTTAGAAAGGTAGGGTTTCGTCTTACACTCCGCTTTCACATCAGATTGAATGATTCTCTAGAAATTGTCTCTGTTGGCAGGCAGGGCTTCACTCTGGCCTGCCATAGGTCAGCGACCTTTTATCCCGAAGATCCGTGACTCAATTGCCGCAAATTCGAGGCCAAAAATTGGCGTGACCTCTCCGCGCGGTTCGGAAATAATTTGGGTAAACCATTGGGGAGGGGCTAAATCTATCCTCCTACTCCAACCAACTTTGACATCCCATCCTACATTATAGTTAGGCGTTTGTTAAACTCATGAGGACATAAATGGAACTTGGGAGCATTTTTAGAAGCCAAAACAAATGATGCGACAGAATGCTCTGGACCGAACCAACACTAACCATGGTTGCATTCCCCAGTGTGGGAGACAGGAGGGGGGAGGGGGCAGTGGCATTAGAGTTTTCCTATTTCTTTGCAGTCTACCCCATATGGAAAATATGGACACTTAACACGCGCTCGGATAGGAAGGGTTAAATTCACCGCCCGCCCCCCCCCCCCCAAAGGTTTTTTCCGGATTTGTTTCCCGAACGGCATATTATGCTAGGCATGGCCGCGCAAAAGTTTGCGTAGCTGTAGACAATTGAATAGCGGATCGTGTGGTATCAAAATTTAAATATACCTTGTAAGGCTGCTGACCTACGGCAGGTCAAGGTCAGACCATGGATTCAACGAATTCAGTTTTTAGGGAATCGTTCAATCTGATGGAACAACGGAGTGCTAAACGAAGTTGTACATCTCTGAGATGCTTCATTAGGCAATACAACAATTGAATGTACAAGTCCACTGACACAGGGTCAGATATAATGGTCAAACCAAGGTCAAAATCATCATGTTTAATTATTCTAGGGCTTGCTGTGTGGGATAGTTTCTGGTGCTTGTGGCGGGCGGCGCAGCTATCCACACGCGGGCCACATGCTGTTTTTCCAATGTCTCGCCAAAGCCTTCACCTCGGCAAAATGTAAGTTCGGCGGAACAACCGCCGACGCTCCGGCGGTTCCGAGATACCCGGCCTTTTTTCTTTCTTTTTAATTAATTACGAATGCGCGTTCTGTAGGTTCTTTTGGGATTATGTGCTTACACCTTAATTCTGATTTGTTTCATGTCGTGCTCTCTTTAGTGCTAACATCTCATCGCAGTCATTAACATGTCTTACATACAAATACGTCGCTAATGTGTATTGTTAAATGACGTGCTAAACCCCCGCCTGTCATTTTCTGTGCGCTCCAGTTAACAGTCTATAGGAAAATGGCAGGTTAATGAATAATGTGGCGGCATGAGTTCTGTGCCATGAGAGAGGACGCGTCGTGGTCAGGTCCATGTTTACATGGCAAATTGATTATCCTGTATAGCTCGTATACTGCATGTAGCTTGGGGCGACTGTGAATTTTCCACGAACGTAATGACAGGATTTTTACCACCACGGGTTAAATGCGTCACGGATGTTCTGCGTTATGATTCCTCAGAGCCGATGTGGATTCCGGCGTGCCGAGGTGTGATTCCGGCGACTGAGGATAATAAGCCGAGCGGGATTCCGGCGTGCCAACGAGGGATTCCGGCACCATTCTGCGACGGGGGAATGTGACGTTTGCTGCCCATGTTAGGACGAAAGCATTTGTTTCGTAAAAATACACGTAATATCGGTACGCCAATGTTCTCGCCACCATCTGCAGTCGTCCCCTTGCTAGTCGGTTTATGACAGGGAATTGTCCCCACGGAATCTGTCTGCAGATCAGTACTGTGGGCCAACTAACCAACAGCCGTCATCAACATGTATAATTAGTCACAGCGAATATGATTATTGCCCGTAAACATATACCCCAAGGAGCCTTTATATAGCGTGACATATAGGAGACACATAGCCCGTATCAAGAGACATATACATATAACCCAAGG